TTAGTTAGTTAGTTAGTTAGTAGTTAGTTAGTTAGTTAGTTAGTTAGTTAGTTAGTTAGTTAGTTAGTTAGTTAGTTAGTTAGTTAGTTAGTTAGTAGTTAGTTAGTAGTTAGTTAGTTGTTAGTTAGTTAGTTAGTAGTTAGTTAGTAGTTAGTAGTTAGTTGTTAGTTGTGTTAGTCTAGTTAGTTAGTAGTTAGAGTTAGTTAGTTAGTAGTTAGTTAGTTAGTTAGTTAGTTAGTTAGTTAGTTAGTTAGTAGTTAGTTAGTTAGTTAGTAGTTAGTTTTAGTAGTTTAGTAGTTATTAGTTAGTTAGTTAGTTGTTAGTTGTTAGTTAGTTAGCTTAGTTAGTTAGTAGTTAGTTAGTTAGTTAGTTAGTTAGTTAGTTAGTTAGTTAGTTAGTAGTTAGTTAGTTAGGTTAGTTAGGTTAGTTAGTTAGTTAGTTAGTTAGTTAGTTAGTTAGTTAGTGGTAACACAGCCTCTCCAACTATCAGCCTGCAACTCTACCAACTAAACTACACCAATCACTTGTAGGTATTTCCTTTCAAATCTTGCACAACTTCCACACACAAGAACAGGATATTACAAATTATTTAATTGATCACTTAAATCACAATTTTCTACCATTTGCAAAATTATTATACATAAAATTGTTAATAACCTTAGCTAAATTTAATAATTTCATATCAACCCAAAATCATATAAATCAAAAAATTATTAAAAACCTGTAACTAAGTAAATAAACAACTAGCAAAGAAAAATTAGAACCCATAATTACAGGTTGTAAAATACAAAAAATAAAAAAACACATAAAAATTACAATTAATTAACAGTAGCTAAGCAATTAAGTTATCAAAACAAAAGACTTAAGCAACAAACCAGTTTCACCGAACACATTTCGTAAACTAAACTAATAACAACTTTGCATAGAAAATTTTGTTGTTTAAAACCCCAAGGCTTTTTCACAGCCTTTATTAAGAAGAAAAAAATAACAAAAACAAACTTACCATTTCTATAGAATTCTACAACTTCCTTTAATATTAATTTACGCGAAAAACCAAAAAATTTTCTTAACCGAAACAAACTAAACAAAGCCACACTTAACATTTAAAATTCTTTAACAACAACTTCCCTTCTCACAAAACAATGAAAATTATTTTTAAATCTTGCAGTAGTTTATTGTATGATTCTGAAATAATTTCAAATTTCCATAAAATTCTAAAGTTTAGCAGAAATTCTTAGAACCAGTACCAATACTGCGAGTTGATTGTGTCTAATTTTCTTGCACGTAATTTTTAGTTTTGCACTTGTCACGCTCTAATTTTTGTTCCCATGACTTGTGTTGTTTGTTTGTAACAAAAAAGAAAAAACAAACACATTCTTAAAAAAAATTTTAAATGTTAAATTGTCGTTTCTATTTAAAAAAAATCATATTTTTTTAATTTTGTTGTTGTTGTTTTTGTTTATGAATTGTTTTTATAACATTTTACTTTGGTGTTACTTTAATGTTTAATTTTATGCTTTTTTCCTACAATGTTTGCATATTTTATTGTTATTTTGTTGGAAATGTTTCTATTTATGGTTAGTTATTTTATATCTGTTTTTTTTTTTATAATATATTTGTAATTCCCCACGGTATTAGGACAGACATTTATTGATGTCAATTCAAATTTTGTATTAATTCAAATTGTCTTTATGATGATTTTAATGAATTACTTTGAGAAAATGTTATATGTATTTACCACGAGAAATATTGGAGTTGAAATAAGTTATGAATACCTAGACAAAAGAAGAATTAGTACAGTGGGCTTGAATGTATAATAAAAATCTAAAAATTATCGAGAATTTATCGTAATTAAATTTTACGAAAATTTTCCATCAAACGAAAAATTTAACGAAAACTTTCTATAGACAATAAATTAAACAGAAAAATTTATAAAAGGCAAATTTTAAGAAAACTTTTTTATAAAAAGCAACTAAATATTTCGATAAAAACAAAACTTCACATAAATGTTCAATGAAAAGAAAACTTAACGAAGTTTTTCTATGAAAAAAAGAACTTAACGGAAGTTCTTTATTAAAGGTAAATTTAACGAAGATTTTCTATAAAGTGTGTTTATCGATAATTTTCGATTTATATATAGGGTTCTATAAAAAGTGAATTTATCGAAAGTGTTCTATAAAAAGAGAATTTATCGAAAGTGTTCTATAAAAACAGAATTTATCGAAAGTGTTCTACAAAAAGAGAATTTATCGAAAGTGTTCTATAAAAAGAGAATTTATCGAAAATTTTCTATATATAAAAAAAAGAGTTTATCGAAAATTCTCTACAAAAATTTATCGAGAAGATCAGAGAATTTATCGAAGATGTTCTATAAAAAGAGAATTTATCGAAGATGTTCTATAAAAAGAGAATTTATCGAAGATGATCTATAAAAAGAGAATTTATCGAAGATGTTCTTTAAAAAGAGAATTTATCGAAGATGTTCTATAAAAAGAGAATTTATCGAAGATATTCTATAAAAAGAGAATTTAACGAAGATGTTCTATAAAAAGAGAATAGAATTTATCAAAAATTTTCTATAAAAAGAGAATTTATCGACAATTTTCTATAAAAAGAGAATTTATCGAAAATTTTCTATAAAAAGAGAGTTTTAAAAAAAGAGTTTATCGAAAATTCTCTACAAAAAGAAAATTTATCGAAGATGTTCTACAAAAAGAGAATTTATCGAAGATGTTCTATAAAAAGAGAATTTATCGAAGATGTTCTATAAAAAGAGAATTTATCGAAGATGTTCTATAAAAAGAGAATTTACCGAAGATGTTCTATAAAAAGAGAATTTAACGAAGATGTTCTATAAAAAGAGAATTTATCGAAGATGTCCTATAAAAAGAGAATTTATCGAAGATGTTCTATAAAAAGAGAATTTATCGAAGATGTTCTATAAAAAGAGAATTTATCGAAGATGTTCTTTAAAAAGAGAATTTATCGAAGATGTTCTATAAAAAGAGAATTTAACGAAGATGTTTTATAAAAAGAGAATTTAACGAAGATGTTCTATAAAAAGAGAATTTATCGAAGATGTCCTATAAAAAGAGAATTTATCGAAGATGTTCTATAAAAAGAGAATTTATCGAAAATTTTCTATAAAAAGAGAATTTATCGAAAATTTTCTATAAAAAGAGAATTTATCGAAAATGTTCTATAAAAAGAGAATTTATCGACAATTTTCTATAAAAAGAGAATTTATCGAAAATTTTCTATAAAAAGAGAATTTATCGACAATTTTCTATAAAAAGAGAATTTATCGAAAATCTCCTATAAAAAGAGAATTTATCGAAAATCTGCTATAAAAAGAGAATTTATCCAAAATTTTCTATAAAAAGATAATTTATCGAAAATTTCCTATAAAATGAAAATTTATCGAAAATTTCCTATCAAAAGAGAATTTGTCGAAAATTTTCTATCAAAAGAGAATTTATCGAAAATTTCCTATAAAAAGAGAATTTATCGAAAATTTTCTATAAAAGAGATTTTATCGAAAATTTCTATAAAAAGAGAATTTATGGAAAATTCCCTATAAAAAAAGAATTTATCGAAAATTTCCTATAAAAGAGAATTATCGAAAATTTCCTATAAAAAGAGAATTTATCGAAAATATTATATAAAAAGAGAATTTATCGAAATTTCCTATAAAAAGAGAATTTATCAAACATTTTCTATAAAAAGATAATTTATCGAAAGTGTTCTATAATAAAATTCTAAAATAAAAAGAGAATTTATCGAAAATTTCCTAAAAAGGAGAATTTATCGAAAGTGTTCTATAAAAAGAGATTTTATCGGAAGTGTTCTATGAAAAGAGAATTTATCAATAATTTTCTACAAAAATAAAAGAAAAGAATTTATGAAAAATTTTCTATATAAAAAGAGAATTTATCGAAAATTTCCAAAAAAAAAAAAAAAGAGAATTTATCGAAAATTTTCTATAAATAGAGAATTTATCAAACATTTTCTTTAAAAAATTATCGAAAATTTTCTGCAAATATAAAATTTATCGGAAAATGTTATCTAAAATGAAAATTTATTGAAAATTTTCTCCAAAATAAAAATTTTATTCAAAATGTATCTTAAAGTTTTCTTAAAAAGAAAAATTTATCGAAAATAATAAATACCAAATTCACTCAATAAAATAGAAAATCTTTTTTTGTCACTAATAATCTACATTAAACATCATTAAATAAAAATCAAACTATATATCATCATCTGTATAAATAACAATAAAAGATTTTTATCAATTTCTCGCTAAGACAATAAGACGACAATACAATTTAATATCACAAAAAAATAATATGAAATTCCTTTTTCGTCCATAAATCAATTCAATTAAAAATTGATCATGTCTATTTAAACCTCATTAATAAAAATGATGACTGGAAAAAAACATTCATATCGATAACATTTCATCATTTAAATCATAAATGTCATGGTAACAAGATCGTAAAAATACAACAGAAATAAATAAACTAAAATACTTAAAACAAAACCAGTCTAAAACAATGGGAATAGCACAAGATTAAAGATTTAAATCAAACTTGTAAAGTGTTGCAATAGAACAATAGAGCATTAGACACAACAACAACAACAACAAAAAGTGACTAGAAGCTTAACAAGTGTCATCAATTCGACATGATCAATTGATTGGCTGGCTGGTTGCTGGTTTGATCTTCTTCGAAAACAAAATCAAACAACATGTACATCTAGATAAAAAACACATGTAGAGATGTGTTGTTTTAAACACAAGTAGATACAACAAGTAGATACAACAAGTAGCATCTACATTTAATGAACTTGAAGTAGTCATTTGTACATAACCACAACAAGTGACCTTTTGCAAACTAAAGTGATTTGGTTTAGAATTTTTAAAACGTGTAAATGAAATTTTGAAATGTAAATAATTAATTAGTTAAACTTAAAAATGATTTTTTTTCATTTATTTTCAGCTGCTCAATCACAACAAAACAAAAGATCCTCACGTATTACCAGTTCACGCACTAGCTTTGGTACTAATGTTAAACCCTCTTCATCAGGAGGCTCTTCCTCCTCTTCATCGAGTGGTGTCAATTTCGATTGTCCCGAAGAGTTTGGCTACTATCCCCATCCCACCGATTGTACTCAGTATTATGTGTGCGTTTTCGGTGGTGCCTTATTGGAAAGTTGTACTGGTGGTCTTATGTACTCTCATGAGTTACAGACATGTGATTGGCCCCGTAATGTAGGCTGCGAAGTGGTCGATACTCATGAACGTCGTCCACAACAACAACAGCAGCAGCAACAGCACAGCCAGCAACATCAACAACAAACTAATGCTAATCAACATGTACCAAGTAGAGTACGTTTTGGTTCGGCCTTTACCAGTCCCCAAGAGGTGAGAACTCAGCAACCTCAACAGGTTTTGAAAGCTACTGTACCACCTCAATATCATCGACAACCACCACAGGTTATTCAGGCTCAAGTGCAGACAATATCGCAACAGTCGGAAAATTCGAATCCCATAATTACATCTAGAGGGCAACCTAAACATTTGCTAGAGGCTCAAGAAGAAATTGCTAAGGTAGGTGGTTATATGTATATTAATAATTATGGGTCCTTATGGACTCGAACTAACAATGTTGGTATTTCTGTATCGATAATCCAGAGGCTCAAGACATCTTACGGATATCCCAGATATCTCGCGAACCCAAATCTTATATATTTCAGACATAGTTTCAAAACTTTTAAACAAACTCTAAAACCTTAGATTAAAATCAATATTTCAAGGGCCCTAGATATTTTTGTGCCCCAAATTTTCTAAAATATATTAGATATTCTTTCAAAATAAGCAATACGTCCTATAAATAACTGAGATATAATTACTTCCAAAACATTTCCGATATTTCGCAAACTTTGTTTTTATCCTTTTTAGTTCAGACAATTTGACATTCCAAATGCTTCCGATATCTTACGGATTCAGAGACATTGATATAAATCAATGTTCAATAGGTCCAAGATATCAAGGATCCGATATGTTTGGGATCCAAATCTTCTTAAATATATCAGATATTCATTCAAAAATGACCTACAAACAACAGAATTTCGGTAGAAATCGATAGTAAAAGGACCTCTAGATATACAAATGTATTTGGGTAATTATTTCAGACATTGGATCGAAGGCTGTGACAAATGATACGGCAAATCTGAGGCAAATCCGATTGAAATATACATTACAAGGGTCCCCGATACTATGTTGACCCAAATTTTCTTAAATATATCAAATATTCGTTCATTTTACCTATAAACGACAAAATTTCGGTAGAATTCGATATTCTAGGGTCTTCAGATATATTTGGTTAAATATTTTAGACATTGAATCGAAAATTTTGACAAATAGCCCTGCAAATCTGAGAAATCATTGTTTATGAGCTGCTTGATATCAAACGGATCCCAGTCTTTAATATTTCAGAAATCGTTTAAAATGTTTCCCTATAAACAACAGAATTTCGCTTGAAATCGATATTAGAAGGGGCTTCATATGTATTTAGCTAATTATTTCAAACTTTACGATCTCTATAAATATCGGTAGAAATCGATATTCGAGGGGCTTCAGATGTACATATGTATTTGGGTAATTGTTTGAGACATTGGTCAGAAAACTTTGACAAATAGTACGGCAAATCTGAGGACATTGATAGAAATCATTGTTTATGAGCTCCCACTTATTATACGGAACCAAATCTTTCAGACATTGTTTAAACATTTTTGACAAAATCCGTAGCCCATGTCTGAAATCAACACTCACTTTGGAACCTTATAAGTAGTAAATTAGACTTTACTTTGTCATTTTTAAGAATGTCGGTAGAAATCAACATTATACGGTCCTCAGATATCATATATACATATGTCTATATGTACATTAACTTCCACAACCTTCCATCTCCATAAATGCCGGTAGAAATCGGCATTATAGGGGGATCAGATATCACATAAAATTGGATCGAACATTTTGTTATTGAAAATCGATGTCTGGGAACCTTAAGAGAAATCTATGTATACTGAAATCTTTCGACCCAAATTTTGTATAAATATAACATTTATATATAACATATAACACATTTCATTTTTACTATTTTCTAGCTCTATGCTGATGCCCATGAATCCTTGTTACCCGTCGAGGAAGAAGAAAGTGATCGTCAGCAACGTGTTTATCGTGGTCAACCCAGTACTGTGAGTCAAGTGCAAAAGGATCGTGATGGTATCATACATCAAGCCAGTATCAATGCCATACCCAATAATGACAAATTCAGTTCATACAATTTCGGTACACAATACCGGTAAGTTAAAATTGTGAAAATATACAACAAAAAAAATCTATATCAAAACTTATCAATGAAAAGTTAAACTACAATTTTCACTATTCACTATTTATTTTCTCACTATGGCTTTTTTAATTTATAATCAAATATGCTTTAATTTATTTTATATTTCATATTTAATGCTCTTTTTCTATTTTTTTATATTTCGACATAAAAACAAACTATTAAACTTTTTTTTTCTCAAAATTCTATCTCATCGCTCAAAAATTACTACAACCATAATTTCTAAAAACAATCAAATGCATTTGCAACTGCACTTTTTGACGTATATTTTTAACCTAACAATTGCCTACGACCAAAAAAACCAAATCGCACACACATTAGAACTGACATGTTACTAGACCTTGACTTGCTCAACAATGGACTAGAAAATGTTTTTGTTATAGACTCCAAAGATCTTGACCTCAATGTTCACAAACGTGTTAAACGTGATTTAGGGTTGGCCGCTACAGACAAATTGGTTTCGCTAACTACCACTGAGAACGAAAATGTTGCTTTAGAAAAAGAACAAACGGAACAGCAACAAGAAAATATACAAATTAGTAGCACTCAGCCCAGTAAAGCGGAAGACTCCAAAGTGGTGAAATACTCTTCGAAATTCTCTTCAAATGCTGATGAGACTATGCTTGAAATAGAAAGTTTGGTTAAGGAGCTATATGGTCCCGATATAAAAGCTACCACCACCGATGATTTAATGGATTTGATGGAGACAAAGGTTACACAAGAATTGAAACTTTCAAAATTGGTATTGGAACAACAGAACAGGGAAACCACTGAGGCAGTTCAAAGTGAAGTAAAACAATTTCTTAAATCAGAAGATAATGACTCTAATTCTTCTAATGAGCTTTCCGAAACTTCTACCAAAAATCTGATTAAAACTCTAGAAACTTCAGATCAAACTAGTACTGCACATGAAACCTCTACAATTTTAGATTTAGATAAGGAAACGTCTCAGAATTTGGTAACAAAAGAACCCGCAAAAACCTCTAACAAACTTGAAACTCAAACAGAAGTTGTATTATTTCCACGAGAACCCGAAGATATGGAATATTTGGATACTGGGGATAATGTAGCAGCAGAATCTGCTAGAATTATAAGACAATTAAGACCCTTTAGTGGACGCTCCAGATCTCAATGGTTTGGCAACGGGGCAGGAGCAGCAGCACCGGGTACAAACTATCGTTCTATAGATGCTCATTCTTATCAGCAACAACAACCTCAAACTTCATATTCCTTTGGAGCCTTTAATCCCTATCTTTCACCTCCTGCCACGCCCACATATGCTGCCCTAAACTCGCTTAATGTCCAGTACAAACCCAATAACTATCAACAAGGTTTCCCACAAAACGGCAACTATAAACAGCAAAAACCCAAAGTGGTCTATACAGGCTATAATTTATCACTACCCCCACCAAAAGCCACTACTAGTGAGGATGATTTTCGACCAGTAGTGGGTAAATATTATAGTACCAGTACCACTACCAGGCCTACATACCTCAAGAACACCGATTTACTGCCTTATATTCTCAAATCTCTACAAGAACTTAAGGAACAACGTAAAAAGCTGCAGGCTGAAAATTTCAGCTATTTTCACTTAGACAATCAACCCACCACTCTTAGACCCTTTAATGAATACAAATCAACTACTCCGAAAGTTACGCCTAATTCTCATTTCTCGCAAATCTCTACAGTGGGAGGATTTTACAATAACAAAAACTTGCAACAGCAGCCGAACAAACACTATCAGAATAATAATCCTTATATCAGCAATATTATACCCACCACCACGGAAAGCAATTATTTCAAATATAACTTAATAGCCAATCAACATATGAAGAATTTCTATAGCACTTTAAAGCCCCCGACTAACAATTATGATTTTACCACACCCTCGCCTTTTAATACGAATTTCAATATTATCAAACCTCCTAAGTTAGTGTTGCAACAGGGCAACTATGTGGACTTTGGTAAATTTTCGAATGGCATTAGTTATAGCAATACTTCCTCGACTATACCAGAATCATATCAAACCTTTGGTACCTCTCTAACCACAACGGCAGGCTTAAAACCAAGTCAAGAAACTTCCTCCTCTAAACCCTTGAAATTGCAATTTAATCTGCCAGATTTTCTCACAAATCTGCAAACTAAAGATATGGCCCATCTTAATCCCGCTGTGGTCGATATGTTGAAATATTTTAAGGCCGTTAATAAGCCGGATTCCCCCAAGGCTCAAAATAACAAAATTAAAACTTCTCAACCAGTTTTTGTTCGCAATGAATTACAACCGCAACCGATCAGTACCACCAAAAGACCCATTAAGGGTTATGAAAGTTTCTTGAATAGTTTAAACAAACCCGGTAACATGAAACCAAGCACCAACAAGCCTCTCTCCTCCACCGTACAACAACAAGAAGAATACTATGATGAATATGAAGAAGAAGAAAATGAATCGGTGGGCATTGATGTTGATGAAGATGTACAGCCACCCTCTGAAATGCCACCTTATATGCCTATGACCGAGACCATGGCTCCACCTAGATCACAAATGATGCCTGCTGCCAAACCCACAGAAAATCCCAATAAAAATCATCATGATTACAGTACCGGCTATATCCAAGCTACCACATCTAGACCTTTATTCTCGCCCAATTTTGAGCAGTTCTATCAACCACAAACGAATACCCAAGCCAATCCTAATCAAATACCTTCATTCATTAATTTCCCCACAGACTATTTCCAGGAAATCAAACAAAAACTGCCCAATCGACCACAAAACGCACAGATACCTCAACTTAGTGTTAAGCCCACGATCTCAACGACAATACGACTGAACTCTAGCACCACCAAAAAAACGACCACTACAACTACTAGCTCTACGACTACTACCACCACCACTCCTAGACCCATGACTACTACAGCTACAACGCCACGCATGCGTTATACCATAAGACCAAATCGTTTTCGCGGACAAAATAGATGGCAATCGTCGGCGAATAATAACAGCAACAACAACAATAGTAATAATACGAACAGCAATAATAACAACAACAACAATAATAATACAGCCATGAAAACTTTGACTTTAGACTTAAAGGAAAGACCTTTAAGCATAAGAAAACGTCCCACCTCATTGGCTTCTAGTACTAGTATGGGCACCGGCAGCAATATGAACTCTAACGGACAAAATCATAGCAACAGGTACAGTGTGTTTCAAAACAAAATCAAATAATACTATATGTCTCTAAAACAACTACAATCCAATAAAACAAAATAAAGAAAAAAAAACTAATTTTGTTTTTAACCCTGTTCCCTATTTATTTATATAAATGTATATGTATGTGTGAGGGGAATCATTTCCTTCCTGTTTATCCTAAAAAAACAGTGATTTTTGTACCCCCTCTCCAAAAACAAAACCTACAACAACAACAAAACGACACTTTAAACAATAACTGTAAATACTTTTTTTGTAAACTTTTGTGAATACTGTTACTGTGTGAATTTGTAAACAAAAAAAAACCTAAAACCCCCCAACAAACCCTGTACAGTTTTAACTGAACTAAAACCTAAACCAAAAAAAAATTATGAAAAGATTGACTAAAATTAAGGGACGCCTTCACCTCATGTTAGAGATTGAAAGACAAAAAATTAAATTCTGTATATATTCTAAAGTTATACGATTGAAAAGATGCAATTTTTTTAATTTTGTTAATAAAGCTGGAATAATTTTTAATAAATTCGATTGCTTTTGTTAAATAATTTTAAAAATTACAATCTTTTTGAGCATAGATTGCCATAATAATAAGTATTATAAAAAAAAACCTGGTATGAGTATTTTAAAGATCACTTGTAGTCTAGTCTATAGTCTAGTCTATAGTATAATATGTAGTATAATTTATAGTCTAGTCTACAGTCTAGTCAATAGTATAATCTAGCCCGTTGTCTAGTCTATACAATACTCTATAGTCTAATATATAGTCCAGTCTATAGTCCAGTCTAGTCTAGTCATAGTAGTCCTATAGTATATCGTATAGTCTTCTATAGTCTAGTCCTATAGTCTAGTCTATAGTCTAGTCTAGCTATCTATAGTCCTAGTCTATAGTCCTAGTCCTATATAGTCTAGTCTATAGTCTAGTCTATAGTCTAGTCTATAGTCTAGTCTATAGTCTAGTTATAGTCTAGTCTATAGTCTAGTCTATAGTCTAGTCTATAGTCTAGTCATAGTCTAGTTATAGTCTAGTCTATAGTCTAGTCTATAGTCTAGTCTATAGTCTAGTCTATAGTCTAGTCTATAGTCTAGTCTATCGTCTAGTCTATAGTCTAGTCTATAGTCTAGTCTATAGTCTAGTCTATAGTCTAGTCTATAGTCTAGTCTATAGTCTAGTCTATAGTCTAGTCTATAGTCTAGTCTATAGTCTAGTCTATAGTCTAGGTCTATAGTCTAGTCTATAGTCTAGTCTATAGTCTAGTCTTATAGTCTAGTCTATAGCTGCTAGGTCTATAGTCTAGTTCTATAGTCTAGTCTATAGTCTAGTCTATAGTCTAGTACTATAGTTCTAGTCTATAGTCTAGTCTATAGTCTAGTCTATAGTCTAGTCTATAGTCTAGTCTATTAGTCTAGATCTATAGTCTAGTCTGATAGTCTAGTTCTATAGTCTAGTCTATAGTCTAGTCTATAGTCTAGTCTATAGTCTAGTCTATAGTCTAGTCTATAGTCTAGTCTATAGTCTAGTCTATAGTCTAGTCTATAGTCTAGTCTATAGTCTAGTCTATAGTCTAGTCTATAGTCTAGTCTATAGTCTAGTCTATAGTCTAGTCTATAGTCTAGTCTATAGTCTAGTCTATAGTCTAGTCTATAGTCTAGTCTATAGTCTAGTCTATAGTCTAGTCTATAGTCTAGTCTATAGTCTAGTCTATAGTCTAGTCTATAGTCTAGTCTATAGTCTAGTCTATAGTCTAGTCTATAGTCTAGTCTATAGTCTAGTCTATAGTCTAGTCTATAGTCTAGTCTATAGTCTAGTCTATAGTCTAGTCTATAGTCTAGTCTATAGTCTAGTCTATAGTCTAGTCTATAGTCTAGTCTATAGTCTAGTCTATAGTCTAGTCTATAGTCTAGTCTATAGTCTAGTCTATAGTCTAGTCTATAGTCTAGTCTATAGTCTAGTCTATAGTCTAGTCTATAGTCTAGTCTATAGTCTAGTCTAGTCTAGTCTAGTCTAGTCTAGTCTAGTCTAGTCTATAGTCTAATCTATAGTCTAGTCTATAGTCTAGTCTATAGCCAACGAAAGACTCGTTTGAGTTTCTCGATCTCTATAGCATGGGGAATAGGGCATTTTAAGATTTTTAACTTTTTTTCATTTGTCATGATTAGGCCTGAAAAGCCTAAGAAGATATTTCTAAAAGCAATCCTATCATATTATTTTATAATTCAAAATGAAGGACACGATTATTTGCTCTCCTACTAAAGATCAAAATTAACCTTAACATTTCTATGCTTTCTAATAGTCCAATTTTTCGTCAATAAACTACTTAAAGTGCTGACGATATACACTATTATCCAAACTATAATGTTACCACTTTAATCATTAATATTAAAAATCTTAACTTCAATATTGTTTAAACAGTTTCTCTCAAGCGATAATTAACTAAGCTTTCATATCTCAAAGCAGTACCTTCGTGTTTGTCGTGAGATCGTTTAAAGCAGTGGTCGCATCACGCTGAAAGTAAAATTATCACATCTATATTTTCTCACCATATGTATGAAATACCTGAGATCTTCCTTTCCTGGAAAATGTTTATGCTGATCACTAGCTTAAACTTAGCAGCGAATTTTCTACAAAAATCTTTGGAAATCATGAGTTGATATTGAATTTATAATGAATTGAAATATAACGACAAATCTATCTTGATCTATCTATACAGGATCTATTTTTGAGCAGCATTCATAAAATTTTCAAACTTTTTAAATTAAAGTTATTCTAGTTTTTCAATTAAAATAATTAACTAAAAATATTTATATTATGGCAAATCTATTTTCAATCAATAATCGATAACAAAATCTTTTTGGCTCTCTATCTCTCTCTCTCTTTTAACTCTCTTTAACTTTATAACTCTCTCATTTAGTAATATTAACTAACAAATTCATCTTTTAACTAGTTTAATCTTTATAACTATCAATTCTCTTTTACTCTTTAAACTGCTTTTACTAAACTCCATCATTACTAATAAATAGTAATTCTAAAAACCAAAAAAAAAAAAAAATGTTGTACAAAAAAACTAATTAAACATTTTTTACTATTTTTTTCATTTTTTCTTTTGTATATATCAAAAAAAATGGCAAAATTGTTTGTATCAAATGTAAAAATAAATTAAATAATATATCATTGTTATAAACCATTTAAAATTAATAATGCATCATTATAATTATATTTTGTTCTGCATAAAAATTAAATACAAAATATATTTTTGTAAATAATTATTGGGGTGTTATAAAAAAAAAAATAAAAAAACAAAAACATACACAATCATCATTTTAAACAAAACATTCCCCTAAATCAACCAAGTAGTATTGAAACCTCATCTCCATCATCATCATCCATACAATTGGCTACACCGCCAACCATTTTTATACAAACGGCTAGACCACCAACCATACAACAACAACAACACCAACATCAACCCCCACAACAACAGCAACAACAAGTTATTGTTGAAACTATACCATCAACACAAACTCAAAATCGTAATCAACAACAACATCAATATCAACAACAACAACAATTATCACCACCATTACCAACATTAGCTCAACCCCAACCATTTAGTCAGAATCGTAATTATTATAATACATCAGCGTCTTATAATCATAATAACAATAACAATAATAATTATCCAAATCATAATGTTGTGTCTTATATACCACAACAACAACAACCACAACAAATACCTTTACAACATTCATTACAAAATCAGCAACAACAACAACAAACCCAACAACAACAATCATTAATAACACAAAACGATAATGTTCAACAATCTGAACAAAGTCCTTATGATACTTATTATTCTGTTTATGACGATGATATTGATTTGTATAGGGATATAGAATATCAACAACAACAGCAGCAGCAACAACAACAACAACGTCAGCAGCAGCAACAACATCGTCCACAACCTCAACAACAACAATATCAACAGCCTATAAGATCCCAACCCCAACAATCGACTTATCGCCCATTGGAAATATTTACAACACCAGCACCGCAATCACAGCTCCCTGCGCTACGAGAAACTTATAAACCCCAACAACCTAAACCCCAGGAAAGACCCACCTATCAAACAAATCAACAAGCCTTGGTATATAACGCGGACTATGACGATGATTTGATAGCACAAGTAAGTCATTATAAGTACTTAGGAATAAATAGTTCTTAGTTTATTAAACAGGTTACAGACTAGACTAAAGGCTAGACTATAGACTAGACTATAGACTAGACTATAGACTAGACTATAGACTAGACTATAGACTAGACTATAGACTAGACTATAGACTAGACTATAGACTAGACTATAGACTAGACTACAGACTAGTCTAGACTATAGACTTGACTATAGACTAGACTAGACTAGACTATAGACTAGACTATAGACTAGACTATAGACTAGACTATAGACTAGACTATAGACTAGACTATAGACTAGACTATAGACTAGACTATAGACTAGACTATAGACTAGACTATAGACTAGACTATAGACTAGACTATAGACTAGACTATAGACTAGACTATAGACTAGACTATAGACTAGACTATAGACTAGACTATAGACTAGACTATAGACTAGACTATAGACTAGACTATAGACTAGACTATAGACTAGACTATAGACTAGACTATAGACTAGACTATAGACTAGACTATAGACTAGACTATAGACTAGACTATAGACTAGACTATAGACTAGACTATAGACTAGACTATAGACTAGACTATAGACTAGACTATAGACTAGACTATAGACTAGACTATAGACTAGACTATAGACTAGACTATAGACTAGACTATAGACTAGACTATAGACTAGACTATAGACTAGACTATAGACTAGACTATAGACTAGACTATAGACTAGACTATAGACTAGACTATAGACTAGACTATAGACTAGACTATAGACTAGACTAGACTAGACTATAGACTAGACTATAGACTAGACTATAGACTAGACTATAGACTAGACTATAGACTAGACTATAGACTAGACTATAGACTAGACTATAGACTAGACTATAGACTAGACTATAGACTAGACTATAGACTAGACATAGACTAGACTATAGACTAGACTATAGACTAGACTATAGACTAGACTATAGACTAGACTATAGACTAGACTATAGACTAGACTATAGACTAGACTATAGACTAGACTATAGACTAGACTATAGACTAGACTAACTAGACTAGACTATAGACTAGACTATAGACTAGACTATAGACTAGACTATAGACTAGACTATAGACTAGACTATAGACTAGACTATAGACTAGACTATAGACTAGACTATAGACTAGACTATAGACTAGACTATAGACTAGACTATAGACTAGACTATAGACTAGACTATAGACTAGACTATAGACTAGACTATAGACTAGACTATAGACTAGACTATAGACTAGACTATAGACTAGACTATAGACTAGACTATAGACTAGACTATAGACTAGACTATAGACTAGACTATAGACTAGACTATAGACTAGACTATAGACTAGACTATAGACTAGACTATAGACTAGACTATAGACTAGACTATAGACTAGACTATAGACTAGACTATAGACTAGACTATAGACTAGACTATAGACTAGACTATAGACTAGACTATAGACTAGACTATAGACTACTATAGACTATATTAGACTATACTCTAGACTATAGACTATGACATTTTTGGGTACTTGGCTTCCAGTTGAACTTGTAACTGTAACAATAACATTTCTTTAGTCTTAGTCCTAAACATTTCAATTTCAATGACATATTTACTTTTCAGATCGAACAAGATAACGCCTACGATCAACCCACTAGATCACCACCATCAAGGTAAGTTTAAATTTTCCATATTTTCATAGAATTAGCTAATCAACAAAATTAAATACACACATAAACATTTTAAAACAATATTAATTAATATAATAATTGTTCTACTCAAACAATAAACAAAATTGTTAAAAAAAGAAAATGAAACATGCTAACAAAAATCTAACCAAAATAATGATAAAAAACAAAAATGTTTAAACCCAAAAAAATGATTAAAAATATAAATCATAACTTAGGATCATGAGTAAATAAAAGGCATGCTTCTGTTTTATAAATAATAAAAATAAAACAAATAAAGTTAAGTACCTTTAAGGACCAAAAATAGGCCCGAAATATAAACCATCTCCACCAGTTTCATAACTCCAGAAAGTTAAAAAAAAACTTTTACACATACAAACATACAAAATACCATAACAAATACTAAAGAGAAACATCAAAATTTTTATTTCTATTTCTCTCCCCCGTCCCTCTGAAACAAAACAACTTTAATCCCTCAAAACCAAAAAAACTAAAATCCCACAAAAACCAAAAAAAAAAACAATTTCTACAAATCAACACTTTACAGGAAAGAACAAGTATCTATACAAACTTTAGGTAGTGGTCCCTCTTCGACCGTGCGCAGCCTGATTAATGGAAATGATGAGCGCAATTATTATAGTACTTTAACCACACCATTGCCCCCCTTAAATCTTAATGATCCCGATGAATATATTTACGAAACGGAATATGTAGATGATCCCGATTATTATTATAATGATAAATTACATACACCGGCGCCTACTTTAACGACCTATAAACCTAAAGTTAGGACCCAAATAAATGACAATCACAATGATGATCAGGACTACAATATAATTGGTACAAAATTACAAAGTACACAGAATACGAAACCAAAGAATAGAATAAATACCAGGCCGGAAATTATTCTATCAACTCCAGTGTCCACGATTAGAACTACCAGACCTACAACGACGGCTTCAACATCAACCAGTACTAGTTCCACCACCACTACTACCACAACTACTACAACAACCACCACTACAACAACACCCAAACCTTCAACCACAAAAATAAGTAAAACTACCAGTCCTTCAGTCACCACAACTAAATCAAGGTATTTTTCTTTTGTCTCAATCTCTTTCTCTTACTCTTACTATCTTTACCTTTAAACCTTTTGCAACCAAAAATGATCAGCTGATTCATTATATTGTTGGAAAATATTCAAAATCATATTAAAGCTTTAAAACTAAAATTAAATTATTTGGCTTTAAATGTTTTTTTATATAAAATATTTTATTAAAAAAAATCCATCCAAGTCATTAGGTCCACTTTAGTATTCTATATTCTATCTATCCATCTATATCTGTAGTTTTGATTGGCTTAAATCATAGTAAAACTTACATTTACCTACACAGTTACACATTCCAAACACCTCATATTCACACACTTATTTAACACACGTTCACATTCCAAAGAATGTCGCCCCGAAAACATGGAGGAGATCTATTTGAAAATAGTCCTGTTTTATGATATACATATTTTGTACTTTTTTTGTGTAAAAATTTTAATACTGAATACTGAGGCATGTTTTAATTAAAAAAATAACTATAGTTGCATGTTTTACTCATTCCCGTTAAAAAATCTATATGTTTTTATATCATTTGTGTTTCTATATCTTATTGAAAAGCATTTAGGAGGTGTCTATAGGCGAGATTTTAGTGTGAAACTATAATTGAAACTGTCCAAAATAATATAGCTTGAGAAATATTGGAATAATTAGTTTAAAGTTGAGTCACTTAGATCGTGCTGATAATGGTTCAACACTAACCATGTGCTTGTAAGTCCGTCCGTTTGTCTGTTCATAAAAAAATCATATTGAATTTTACGATTCTTTGAGATTTGATCATAAACCTTTCCTTATTTTAAGAGCAATGATATATTTTCATGAAATCGGTCCGTTCTCAAAAAATTACATATCAACAGATATTATACTCTTAAATTCTTTAAGAATCGGCCAACAGGGTCCCTCTGTCTGTTCTTTAAAAAATCAAGTTGAATTTTATGACTCTTTAAAATTTGATCATAAATGTTTATTTATGTTAAGAGGTATGATCCATTTTCATGAAATCAGATCATTTTCAAAAGATCATATATCAATAGAAATCATATTCGTAAATTCTTTAAGAATGCTTTTGTATAGTTTTTGTTATGGTTTCATTACTAAAACAGATCAGAAACCTTGAGACTTTTAAATTGCATGAACAGGGTCTATAGCGAAACCTTATCGAGTCCCTTTGGACATAATTAGATTTATGAAACGAGACTAAAATTCTTTCATTTATGTGTGAATATATAATAAAATATTGCATGTTTTATGTGTTAAGCATGAGCATGCTAAATATTTCTAGCATATTTATATCCCTGTCACCATCTAACCCACCAAATGCATGCCTTTTTTGGGGTTCAAAAATACACCAGCAGCGAAAGAAAGAAAATCTAACTTTTTTACAGCAAAAGCGTTCAACAGTCTGTGAAAAACCAAGGAAATCTTAGCTAAAGAAAACTATTTAGTTTATATTATTTTTTTTTAAATACCATAAGAATTAATCAATTTAACATGAAATCAAACTTCTTTTTTTTTCTTTTTTTTTTTAATAAAATGAATAAAAAATCATGACCACTGTGCCCTTTCCTTAACATATGAACTGATCTTTCTATATGTTCTATCTTTACCATTTAACCTTTGTGTTTCCACCACTTATACTCTTGCTGTCACTCTATATCACTGTCTTTCTCTCTCTCTCTCTCTCTGTGTGTGCATTAAGTAGTTTCTATCATAAAAACCCACTCTCTTACAATAACAATGACCATCAGCATCAAGTAGAGTCTTTAGATTATCATTACAACTCTCAGGAGAATGATGATAATGAGCAAATCATATTTAATATTGGCAAATTAAAAAATCATAGCAACAACAACAACAACAACAGCAATAATAATTATAATAATAAAAATAATAACAACAATAGAAATGCACAACAAGTACAAAATAAACCACCACTGCAATTGATTAATTCTAAATCATCAATATTATTACAATTACCAAAAACAACAACAACTACAATCACTTCACTTGTACAAGAACAACAACAGCAACAAGAATTTCTACCTTTAATTAAGGCCAATAAAACTGAAAAGTTTTTACTAACTCTATTAACGGATAATGTGGATTTCTCCAACAGATCCAAACAAACGCATGCAAATAAAAAATTACAACAACAACAACCAGAACTACAACAACAACAAAAGTCACAAAAACATTTTAGACCAGAACCCAACACACAATTCCAGACAACAACAACATCAACAACTCCCTCCACTACTACTACCACCACCACTCCATATCCCACTTCAGCCCAATCCCCCAACTTATATAACCCAATTACCTCTAAACCTAAACTTCCTCAACATATCCCTCAAACGGTTGTTAACGAACCGGAAATTTCCACGGCAAGAGTAATTGCACAAACATATCCACACTCTAGACAGGTGCTAGCATCCAAAAGTTCAAGAACTCACAAGGATGCCAATTTACAGAGTCTAGAAGATGTTGAGACTGTGTTCGATGAGAGTCAAAATGTTCAAGTACAAAGTGCTGAGCCACCAAAAAGTCGCAATTCCGGTACTCATTATAAAACAAACACACAACATGATCGAGGTGCTTATGCCTCCGAAAACTATGCTACCAGTCCGCGCGGTAATCATGTGCGTTCGCAAACCGATAAGTCGGCTAACGAATTCAAAGCAAAAAGTTACGATATATATGGTGGACTTAAAAGCAATGAATTTACCGAGGATAAGAAATCTAAAACAAATTTCAAAGATGTTAAAACGCAAATCAAAAACTATGTTATATCAGATGTGGCACCACAAAGTTTCAAACCACCCTCAACGGAAATAAATGCCAGAGGCAAATTGGAATCAGAAGAAGAGGTGGAGGTATTAAATGGTGCCAGTTCTTCCACTACACTAAGATATCCGGGAACGTTTAAAACTTCAACGGAAGCCAAACCATTTGAGTATAGTTTGCAAACGGGTAAAAATGGTTTTACCTTAAGAGCCCAGCATTTGCCTCACATAGAAGAAAGCTCAAAGCCTTTATATGAAAGAAGACCAGCCATACAATACTTTAGTATACCCTCAACAAGTTCAACCACACTCAAGACCACAACGCCAACCACAACTACAAGTTCTACAACAACAACTACCACCACTACAGAAGCTCCTACAACTAAACCTACCACAACCACTACCACCACCACCACAGAAAAGCCAATATTTAAGCCTCATACGGAAATAGTTTATGTAGAAACCTACTATGATGATGATATACAGCCCACTACATATGCACCTCCTTTAAGAACATGGCGCAATGGTAGACCAACCATACAAACTATACCACCAACTTCAACTAGCACTTTTAGTTCCAGAGCACAAACTTTCTATGATTATAGCTATAGAATACCAACGGAATCTAGTAAATTACAATCGTTGGCTAAGGAATACTTACCCAGAACAACAAGCACCAGTTCCAGCACAACTATAACAACAATTACTACAACCACCACGCCCAAACCTACAACAACTACTACTACAACCACAACGCCCAAGCCGACAACAACAACCTCTACCACAACGCCTAGAACTACAACTACTTCCACTACTACTAGCACTACTGAAAGACCCATACAAACATTTACCGCTAGATCGGCTAATTTCAAAGATAATTTACAAAAAACTACCACATTAGCCAGTCAACGATTTGTATCGCCATTTAAGAGTTTAGAAACTTTGTTACAAAAAGATGAAAGATCATCATTTTCGAATGTGAGACCCACAATTAAACCGAAATATTTCACCCAACCCAGTACACAACATCCATTTTTGCAGACCACTAGTAAACCCTTAAGAAGCTACTTTATAATAACTTCCCCACCGAAAAATATCAATGAGACCTTAATTGCCACAATGGCCACAAATACAAGAAATATCAGTATAAGTGATGTAGTAATTGGAAGTCTAAGAAATAGCAATAATAAGGCTAGTCTAAGTACAACAACTACGACCACAAGCAGCACTACAACGACCACTAAAGCGCCAACAACCACCACCACCACTGAAAGTACCACACCCACCACTATATCGACCATATTGAATACCTCCTCTTTAAGAGTCTACAGCCATAATCGTAATGATGTTTCCGAAAGACCTAGACCAAGGGGTAGATCAAGGTATACAGCTGCCACTGCTACTAATCTATTGGAAAGGGATGAACCTACAACCTATGCACCAAAACAACGTTTCAAACCTGTTGCCGAAGAAATTACTACTACCACAGCCCCAGGTGCTCAACTACAGGGCAGACGTAAGATACAAAGAGCACGTATAGCGGCTCTACAAAATCAAAGAATTCCTACGGTAAATACCATAAAACCCAGAGAAAATTATCAAAGCTTTAAGCAAGAGCTTAAAAAGCATTATGAAAATGAAGCTTTAGATCAACATCCAAGAGCCGAAGCTTTAATAGCCGGTCCGGGATTGAATAATCAAGATAACAGTATTGAAAGCACTAAATCAACTGAGACCACAGAAAAAGAAACCGCCATAACAGAGAGGCCATTGAAATATTACTACTCCAATAAGTATAGACAACAAACCGGAGAACATACATTGGCCGAAAGTTTACAAAATGCTGGCTATATAACATCCTCCACAAAACCGGGAAATACTAAATTTAAAACCTCTTCGGTACTCGAACAATTGCAGTTATTCTTGGCCGGTGTGGATAGTGATGAAAATGAATCATCCTCACCGCAATTTGTGAATGAATTTTCCGAACCTGAAATTAAAGCAGCAGTACAAGAAATTAAAAATCTCTATGCTTCCACCGGACAAAGACCTTCATGGACTACGACTACCACTACGACCTTAAGACCTACCACTACCGCCAAACCCCCTACCACTGCCTATAGCACTAGCACGGCATTACAAACAACTAATTTGAATACTTTACAACACTCAAGCACACACCACACGACCACACCCACTACAACAACAGCTACAACAAAAACATCTGCTACAGCTAAAGCCACCACACAAAAATCAAATCAAATTAGTTTCACTTCACCGACAACCACAACCACGCCTAAATACTTTCCCAAATTTCCATCCTCAACCTATAGTTATTTAACTTCCTCGTCTTCCTCCTCAACTACAACAACTACAACATCAACTACTACTACTACAACAACAACACCGCAACCATCACCATCACAACCTCCTGCTTATGCCTACTCCAGTCAAACAAACAAACATTCAACAGCGGGAGCAGCATCTTCATCCTCGGGTAACATACCACCAGCTCGTGTCTCTAGAGTCAATAACGCTCTTAAATCATCAATAGCAGCAGCTGCTACTGCCTCCCCCTCCTCTTCCTCCTCGCTCAATGGTAACAATAATGCTGGGCCTAATTCCTCCTCAGCGGCAGCGGGAAGATCAAATAATAAATTCTCTTTGGGTTCTACGGTTAAATGTTCTGATACTACGTCCAATGCTAAATGCAATGAAATCCCTACGAGGTATTAATATATATTCAAGCAATTTAAACCAAAAAAAAATAATAATTTTCATTTCAACAAACAAAACTTCTTTTGTTCTACCACTTTAAGAAATTTAAACAAAAAATATTTTCACTGGCTTTTTAAAAAACAAAATTTATATAGTTATAAAAACTGAATAATAAGGGTTGTAGAGATCTTATAGAGATATAGTGATGGAGAGTTTTAAATTAGAATTATTTATTATAATATTTATAATACGATATCGATCGAAATCTCTATTGAGATTCTATGGAGATTTCGATCGATATCGTACGCCATAATTTGGGCCCTGGTCCACACAGATCTAAAGTCAAGAATGTAGTTCCGGTATTATTTCTGCCGAAAGTATGCCAAATATAAGTTTTCTGTATCATCAGAGGACTTCAGAGGATGGGGATAAAAAGGATATACACTACACATTAGTAAACTAGTTAGTGGTTTATTAGTACTATCAGTCTGGCGGACGTGGATTCGATTCCCTCCATATAATCTGATCTGTTTCACTACCAATCTTGTGACCTTTTCTGCAAGACATATTTGGCAAGAATTTAAATGGAATATATTGCAATTCCTTATAGTTTTCAAAATAAAATAAATAAAATTTATTAGAATGATTTTTAAGCCGGAAATCTGTACTGAATTCTAAATATATAACTTCTATATGTATATCCCCCATTTCTAATATATTTGGACGATTTATTCTCTAGACATTCTGCAGATTTTAATTATAAAGTCATAATATAATTCTATATTTTTAACTCTCTATCTAATATCCATAGTTTTGATCTAGACCCTAAATGCACTTTTTTTCTATTTGGGACTTTCAATATGAAATCAAAAATCTTTACTACTAAAACTCAAACTTTAGATACCTATAAAAAAAATTAAAGCAAATTCACAAATTTGTCTCTTTTATTAACTCTAAATTTAAAAATCTACATTTAAATAAAAGTTTGCAAAGCAAATCTTTAGCATATAATATTTTAGTATTTCTTTATATTTCACGTTGTACGCTGAGTAATATTTTAGAGATTTGTTTTTTTTTCACCAAAAATTTATTAAACTTTAAAAATCAATAAAATTTGAAAGAAAAATATCAGGTGGTGGTCAAATTCGGTTGTTTTTAATAATCCTACATAAATATAATTTTTAGTATTGGATTATTTGCTAATTTTGTTTAACTGGTTTGAAATTTCGCACCCAAAATTTCTTAATAAAATGTGAGAACCGAAAAAGGTCCTTGTTTTTAGAAATGCACCCCCCAATTAATTAGCTTTTGTTTTTTTTATATTAATTGTTATTTGCACATTTGATAAATTATGATTTTCTTTTTAAATAATACACTTAATTTATTTATATAATCATCGCGTTTTTTTATAACGTTTCTATTGATTGATTAACATTTTAGGGAAAAGTAGTTAAATACCTTTAGTCTGATGTACGACCATTATAAATGGCTACAGTACAGACTGTAGTATTGGCTATAATCTTAACATTAGTCTCGGCTACAATCTTGATTATAGTCTTATACATAGTCCAGACTAGTTTATAGAACAGGCTATAGTCCGGACTATAGTATTGGCTATAAATCAGCCTATAGTCTTGGCCATAGTTCAGGTTATAGTTCGGATTTTAATCTTCACTATATTCATTGCAATAGTTCAAACTATAGTATTGCCTATAATACAAGTATTGTCTATAGTCCAGACTATAGTTTTGGCAGAGTCTAGACTATAGTCCTGGCTATACTCCAGACTACATTTTTGGCTATAGTCCCGACTCTAGTCTTGGCTGCAGTCCAGACTGTAGTCTTGGCTACAGTCCAGACTATAGTCTTGGCTACAGTCCAGACTATAGTCTTGGCTACAGTCCAGACCATAGTCTTGGCTATAGTCCAGACTATAGTCTTGGATATAGTCCAGACTATAGTTTTGGGTATAGTCCAGACTATAGTCTTGGGTATAGTCCAGACTATAGTCTTGGGTATAGTCTTGGATATTGTTCAGACTATAGTCTAGACTATAGTATTGGGTATAGTCCAGACTATAGTCTTGGCTGTAGTCCATACTATAGTCTTAGCTCCAGTCCAGACAATACTCTTGGCTTTAGTTCCTAAAATAGACTTGCCTATAGTCCGGACTATAGTCTTGTCTATAGTCCAGATTGTAGTCTTGGATATAGTTCAGATTATAGTCTTGGCTATAGTTCAGACAATAGACTTGGTTATAGTCCAGACTAAAGACTTGGCTATATTCCAGACTATAGTCTTGACTATAGTCCAGACTATAGACTTGGCCATTTTCCAGACTAAAGACTAGGCTATAGTCCAAACTATAGACTTGGCTATAGTCCAGACAATAGCCTTGGCTATAGTTCCTACAATAGTCCGGACTATAGTCTTAGGTATAGTCCAGACTAAAGACTTGGCTATAGTCCAGACTGTAGACTTGGCTATAGTCCAGACTATAGACTTGGCTATAGCCCAGACTATAGACTTGGCTATAGTCCAGACTATAGACTTGGTTGTAGTCCAGACTATAGACTTGGCTATAGTTCAGACTATAGGCTTGGCTATAGTTCAGACTATAGACTTGGCAATAGTCCAGACTATAGACTTGCCTATAGTTCAGACTATAGACTTAGCTATAGTCCAGAGTATAGACTTGGCTATAATCCAGACTATAGACTTGGCTATAGTGCAGACTATAGACCTGGCTATAGTCCAGACTATAGTCTTGTCTATTGTTCAGATTATAGTCTTGGCTATAGTGCAGATTATAGTCTTGGTTATAGTCTAGGTTGTTGTCTTGGCTATAGTCCAGGTTGTTGTCTTGGCTATATCCCAGACTTGTCATTAACCTTAATAAAGTCTTGGCTATAGTTCAGACTATAGTCTTGGGTATAGTCCAGAGTATAATCTTGGCTATAGGCGAAAGTATGTCCTTGGATATAATCCACAGTCCATTTTGGGCAATAGTCTGAATTCTTATCAAATCATATAAAATCTCTTTGCTTTGAATTTGCTGTCCAGCACATTGAGGACATTTATAAATGTATTGCAGCGATCAATCCATACTTTTTTGGATCCATTGTAATTTAATTAGAATAACGCAGTAGAAATTTTACTAAATCATTTCAATTTTATAATATTATGAAATATCCATGTTTAGAAAATTTCATCAGAATCATTTGGTTTTCATTAAAAAAAAAAAATAAACTGACTAAACTAGTAGATCTGTCATCTGACAAAACTAAAAGTAGATCTGTCATCATTACAAATATTAAATATTTCTAAGCCATGTTTCATACAACATATAACATTTATAGATAGGTTATGAATTTTATTAAGTTATTTTTAATAATAAATCAGTTTAGAAATAAATTTTAATCTATTATTATGAAATATCATATCTAAATAATAACCAAATTACCATCGGCGTTATATCGAATTTTGTATTAGTTTTTTTTTCAGTTTTAAAGAATTTTATAAATAATACAACAGATGCTTAAAACTATATTAATTTGAAACCCTAAAATCAGCAGGAACTTCTCGAATGTTACAGAAAGTAAACAAAGTCCGCTCTAAAAATTTACTTAGCGTACAGCTGGAACTTTAATTTAAAAAAAAAAAAAAATTGATAAATCTTTTTAGCTAGGAGAGTCTTTGAAAAATAACAATAAGAGGAAAAAATCAGCGCACTTAAACTCAACTAACTACAACGAATATAATTTTCCAATGAACTCTAGTACCTGAACCTACTACCTCTTATTTGGAATATTAAACGTCGTACTCCCATAAAAATAAAAACAAACCTATTTTAAAACACAAAACTCTAGAAAAACCCTCATCAACTATCCAAATTATCCATCCATACCCCTAAAACCTCTATTAGAAGTAAAGTTTCCGAATATTCCACAGAAAAAACTATATACACTATACACCAAATTCAAAAAAAAAAACCTATTGTAAAAATTGTACAAAAGAAACCATCCATCCATCCATCACCAACCAACCTTTCTCACTTTTTTTGGTTCTCACTGTATTTAAAACATGCATTATTAAAAAAAAAAAAACTCACTGTTGGGGAACTCATCACTATTAATTCGTTATTTTTTTTTATTAATTGTTCATATATTTATTTATAAAGGTGTTCTGTGCTTTGGTATTAATATTTTATTTTTTGTATTTTGTAAATTTTATTTTTAATTATTTTTATTACTTGTTACTAACCTGTTTTGTTAAATATATTTATTAAAGTGTCGTTTTGTCTAAGTTTTTGTTTCTTTATAATCGAAAAGTGTTATGCTGCCTTGTTTCTAAAATCTTGTCTTTTTTCTTTTTTTTTCTCTAACTTCTATTATTCCTGTTTGTTTTTTTTTTACTAAATTATGAAAACAAAATTATTTGTATGAAATTTGAAAATAATTAGAATCAATTCGAATAGCAACAGGAATCGCGGTAATTCAGCTTATCAAGGGGATCGTGATGCGGCACCAGTAACTAGCAATCGTGGAACACATCCACCGTAAGTATATTTTGTCTAAATATTTATAAATAATTTTAATGTGACTCTAGTTAAGAAAATAGTACAGACTATTATAGTCTTGTCTATAGTCCCGACAACAGTTTTGTCTATAGGCCACACAATAACCTTGTCAATAGTCCAGACTATGGTCTCGAACACAGTCCTGACTATAGTCTTGATATAGTCCAGCCTATATTTATTGTTCAATCTATAGTCCACAGCCTTGTCTATAGTCCAGACAATATTATTGATATAGTCCACACTACAGTTCTGCCTATAGTCCGCAATATAGTCTTGTCTATAATCCAGACAATAGTACAGACTATGGTCTTGTATGTAGACTTGTCTACAGTCCAGACTGTAGACTTGTCTACTATAGACTATAGATTTGTCTAGACTATAGTCTTGTCTGCAGTCCAGACTATACTCTTGTCTATAGTCCAGCCTGTAGTCTTGTCTATAATCCAGAATAAAGTCTTGTCAATAGTCCATACTATAGTCTTGTCTATGGTCCAGACTATAGTCTTTTCTATGGTCCAGACTTGTCTATATTCCAGACTATAGTCATGTCTATATTCCAGATTATAGTCATGTCTATATTCCAGACTATAGTCATGTCTGTAGTCCAAACTATAGTCTTGTCAATAGTCCAGACTATAGTCTTGTCTATAGTCCAGACTATAGTCTTCTCAATAGTCCAGACTATAGTCTTCTCAATAGTCCAGACTATAGTCTTGTCTATAGTCCAGACTATAGTCTTGTCTATAGTCCAGACTATAGTCTTGTCTATAGTCCAGACTATAGTCTTGTCTATAGTCCAGACTATAGTCTTCTCAATAGTCCAGACTATAGTCTTCTCTATAGTCCAGACTATAGTCTTGTCTATAATCCAGACTATAGTCATGACTATAGTCTGGAATATAGACAAGCCTGGACTATAGAAAAGACTAAACCATAGACAAGACTATAGTATGGACTATTGACAAGACTTTATTCTGGATTATAGACAAGACTACAGGCTGGACTATAGACAAGACTATAGTCTGGACTGCAGACAAGACTATAGTCTAGACAAATCTATAGTCTGGGCTATAGACAAGACTATAGCCTGGAATATAGACAAAACTATAGTCTGGACTATAGACAAGACTATAGTCTGGACTATAGACAAGACTATAGTCTGGATTATAGACAAGTCTATAGTCCAGACTATAGTCTTGTCTATAATCCAGACTATAGTCTTGTCTATAGTCCAGACTATAGTCTTGTCTATAGTCCAGACTATAGTTTTGTCTATATTCCAGGCTATAGTCTTGTCTATAGCCCAGACTATAGATTTGTCTAGACTATAGTCTTGTCTGCAGTCCAGACTATAGTCTTGTCTATAGTCCAGCCTGTAGTCTTGTCTATAATCCAGAATAAAGTCTTGTCAATAGTCCATACTATAGTCTTGTCTATGGTTTAGTCTTTTCTATAGTCCAGGCTTGTCTATATTCCAGACTATAGTCATGTCTATATTCCAGATTATAGTCATGTCTATATTCCAGACTATAGTCATGTCTATAGTCCAAACTATAGTCTTGTCTATAGTCCAGACTATAGTCTTCTCAATAGTCCAGACTACAGTCTTGTCTATATAGTCCAGACTATAGTCTTGTCTATAGTCCAGACTATAGTATTGTCTATAGTCCAGACTATAGTCTTATCTATAGTCCAGACTATAGTCTTATCTATAGTCCAGACTATAGTCTTGTCTATAGTCTTGTCTATAGTCCAGACTATACTCTTGTCTATAGTCCAGACTATAGTCTTGTCTATAGTCCAGACTATACTCTTGTCTATAGTCCAGACTATACTCTTGTCTATAGTCCAGACTATAGTCTTGTCTATAGTCCAGATTATATTCTATAGACAGTCCTGACTATCGTCTTGTCTATAGTCCAGACTATAGTCTTGTCTATAGTCCAGACTATAGACTAGTGTATAGTCCAGACCATAGACTAGTGTATAGTCGAGACTATAGTCTTGTCTACAGGCCAGACTATAGTCTTGTCTATAGTCTAGACTATAGTCTTGTCTATAGTCCGGACTTGTCTATAGTCTTGTCTGTAGCCTTGTCTATAGTCTTGTCTATAGTCTTGTCTTTACTCTTGTCTATAGTCCAGACTATAGTCTTGTCTATAGTCCAGACTATAGTCTTGTCTATAGTCCAGAATATAGTTTTGTCCAGAATATAGTCTTGTCTTTAGTCCAGACTATAATTTTCTATAGTCCATCTTATAGTATTGTCTATAGTCCAGTCTATAATACTAATTATACTCCAAATACAACTAATTTTTTTTTAATTATTTTACTTCTCTAGACGTACTCGTCCCACATTGAAACCTTCCGGTACAATTGTGAGCAAAGCTCAAGAATTTGTTGATATCTATAAAAATCCTCCCTCCAGACCCGAGCCCCTCTATCCACAACCTCAACCTGATAAAACCGCAGCCAAATGTCGTAAAGATGTGTGTCTATTACCCGATTGTTATTGTGGTGGCAGAGATATACCCGGTAAGTTTCGAGAAGAAACCCCTTTAACAAAAAATCATTTGAAATTTTTTTTTAATTGTTCCCATATAAAAATTTCTATAAATTTATAACTTTACAACAAAATTCTATTACAATAACTATTTAGGAGATTTAAAATTGGAAGAAGTTCCTCAAATAGTATTGATAACATTTGATGATGCTGTTAGTACTCTAAATATTGATTACTATGATGAAATATTTAATAATGAAACACGTAAAAATCCAAATGGTTGTCCCATCAGGGGCACATTTTATGTATCACACGAATGGACCGATTATGGTATGGTCCAAGATTTATATGCGGATGGCCATGAAATGGCTTCACATACCGTATCGTAAGTTCGTATAATAATTGTTTAAAAACAAATTATAAAAGCCATCAAGCATCATAACATCAAATCAAAAAAACCGGTTAAAAACAAAAAGAAAACAAAATGTTTAAAATATTTCTTAAAATTATTAAATCATTTTTTTGGTATATTTTTATTTATGATTTGTTTTCTTGTTTTTTTATTTTCATGTGCTTTTTCATCATTTACCATCCCCCTTTCAACCCACAAAAAAAAACCTATTTCTGTGTGCTTACTGTCATAATAAAACATCTATGAAAAAAATCATTAAATCATTTTGCCCCCAAAAAACCCTGCGCCTAAACCTGTATTGATTGGTCGGTCTTATATGTATTGTGTTGCCCCCTTTGTTGTGTTGTGTTTTGGCCCTTTTCCGAAAACAAAAAAAAACTAAAGGTGATCTACCGGTGGAACAAGTTCCTCAAATTGTTTTGATTACCTTTGATGATTCGGTCAATGATTTGAATAAACAATTGTATATTGATTTATTCGAAAAGGGTCGTGTTAATCCCAATGGTTGTCCCATCACGGCCACCTTTTATGTCTCTCACGAATGGACCGATTATAGTCAAGTACAGAATTTATATTCGGATGGTCATGAAATGGCTTCTCATACTGTATCGTAAGTATTATTTAATATTCATTAAATGATGTGACGTTTGTTTGTAGATTTTGGACTTTGAAGCACTTTTACACTTTTATTGAAAATTTTGCACAAGTAGTTCGTTTTATTCAAAATAACTGTATTAATAACAATTAAAACACAAATTCATAAATTTGGAATGATATTACAAAATTTAGACTAATTGAAAGATTACTTGGGAAACCTGTGATCTCGTTGTTTATAGTTATGTCTATAATCTAGTCTATAGTTTTGTCTATAAGCTAAACTATAGTCCAGACTATAGTCCATACTATAGTCCAGACTATAGTCCATATTATAGTCCAGACTATAGTCCATACTATAGTCCAGACTATAGTCCATACTATAGTCCAGACTATAGTCCATACTATAGTCCAGACTATAGTCCATACTATAGTCCAGACTATAGTTCATACTATAGTCCAGACTATAGTCCATACTATAGTCCAGACTATAGTCCAGACTATAGTCCAGACTATAGTCAATACTATAGTCCAGACTATAGTTCATACTTTAGTCCAGACTGTAGTCCATACTATAGTCCAGACTATAGTCCATACTATAGTCCAGACTATAGTCCATACTATAGTACAGACTATAGTCCATACTATAGTCCAGTATGGACTATAGTCCAGACTATAGCCTAGTCTATAGTCCAGACTATAGCCTAGTCTATAGTCCAGACTATAGCCTAGTCTATAGTCCAGATTAAAGTCTAGTCTATAGTCCAGATTAAAGTCTAGTCTATAGTCCAGACTAAAGTCTAGTCTTTTGTCCAGACTAAAGTCTAGTCTATAGTCCACACTATAGTATAATCTATAGTCCAGACTATCGTCTAGTCGATAGTCCAGATTAGAGTCTAGTCTATAGTCCAGACTATAGTCTAGTATATAGTCCAGAAAATCGTCTAGACTATAGGCTAATCTATAGTCCAAGCTATATTCTTTTGTCTAGTCTATAGTCCAGACTATAGCCTAGTCTATAGTCTTGTTCATCTATAGTCAAGACTATAGTCTAGTATGTATTCCAGACTATAATCTAGTTTAGTCTAATATTGTTAGGAGTTCTATACTTCAGTCTTATCTAGTCTTTTCTATAGTCCAGACTACAATCTTGCTGATAGGCTAGACTTCAGTCTTGTCTATAGTCTAGACTTCAATCTTGTCTATAGTCCAGACTTCATGCATTGTCTATAGTCTTGACTATAGTTCAAACTATATGCCTACAGTCCAGACTATAGTCTTGCAGTCCAGATTATAGTTTAAAATATAATCTTGTCTATAGTCGAAACTATAGATACACAATTATATTTTAAAAATGATGTTATATATTAATTTTCACTTAAAACTATGGACTTACACTAAATAGAAGAGGTAATTGAGAATCGGAAAAAAAGTAGAAAACGATCTGACACCATTCTGCCTTTTCACCTGTTTTAAGACAAAATTACTTAACTTTAGATATAGAGTTTTTATACAAATATTTGAACGAAAATTGTACCAATCTAATCTGTATATAAAACATACACAATAATTATCCTAAAACACAAGGTAAGTTCAACATCCAGATCACTTACATTTTGAGCAAAAAGGTTTGTAAAAGATCCACAAAAAGATCCTCCAAAATAAACCGAAAACTCCACAGAAACTTTTCTATTCTTTACTAAAAATCTCTCTGCACCAAATGCACTACAAAACAACATGCACCACAAAATATCACAAAATATTATTAACAATCAATAAAAAATACATATTAAATAAAACTAACTAATACCCTTTTCCCTATTCCCTAAAATTAAAAAAACTGTACAACTATAGGCACAGTTTCGGTGAACAATTCTCGCAAAAGAAATGGACTCGTGAAGTAGCTGGACAACGTGAAATCTTAGCAGCCTATGGTGGTGTTAAACTATCCGATGTCAGAGGCATGCGTGCTCCTTTCTTATCAGTGGGTGGCAATAAAATGTACAAAATGTTATACGATTCCAATTTCACTTATGATTCCTCAATGCCTGTCTATGAAAATCGTCCACCATCTTGGCCCTATACTTTGGATTATAAAATTTTCCACGATTGTATGATTCCACCCTGTCCTACCAAGAGTTATCCCGGTGTTTGGCAAGTACCAATGGTTATGTGGCAAGATTTGAATGGTGGTCGTTGTTCTATGGGTGATGCTTGTTCGAATCCTTCAGATGCTGAGGGTGTAACGAAAATGATCATGAAGAATTTCGAAAGACATTATACAACAAACAGGTGAGTAGAAAAAAGCAATCGGGCAATTTTGAAGAGTTGTTTTTTTAAATTTTTGTTTAACTTTTTGTGATTTTAGAGCTCCATTTGGTTTGTTCTATCATGCTGCTTGGTTTACTCAACCTCATCATAAAGAAGGTTTCATTAAATTCTTGGATGCTATCAATGCCATGCAAGATGTTTGGATTGTTACCAATTGGCAGGCTCTACAGTGGGTCAGAGATCCTACGCCCATTTCTAGAATCAATTCATTCCAACCCTTCCAGTGTGATTATTCGGTGAGTAGATCATGATTTGAATATGTATGATCAATATTGACTTAGTTATACCCTAATATATAAATGCTCCGATTAGCATCGTTAATGGAAAGAAATTCGTTATAATCCGAAATAATACGAATAATACGTTCACATATAATTATTTGTTTGTGGTTGTTTCAAAAAATTTCAAGAAAATCGGTTCTAGACATCAAGAACCGATTTTCTTGAAATTTTTACATGGTCTTCCTATATGTCTGGAAAAAATTATAGGCTACTGTTTCTTTTGTAATTTTAAGTAGGCGAGGTATCACGACCACATACTAAATAAGAATTAAAAGTCGCATATCTTAGAAACTGCAATAAGTAGAGTCTTGGGGAACAAAATGGGCGGCCTAGCATTAGTGCGCGTCACACCTTCCATATAAATAAAAACTTAAATTTGTATATCTGAGAAAATTTAACAGCTAGAGTCCCCAAATATTCTTCGGAGCTACTTTAGTAACAACATGAATGTTTAGGACAGCAAATAGGCGGACTAGCAACAGGGGGCGTGGCACTTCCCATATGAATTAAATACAAAAATTCAATTATCTGGGAAACAATTAGAGCTAGAGCCTTTAAATTTTGCAGGAACAATTTTGATATCGATGTGAACATTTTGGGTCCAAATGGGCGGACTAGCATTAGAAGGCGTGGTAAAATATAAAATTCGTTTATCTGGGTAACTATTGGAGCTAGAATCTTCAAATTTTGCATGAACATCTTTGACATCCTTGTGAACAATTGGGCAATAAACTGGCATGACTAGCAATAGAGGGCGTGGCACCTCCCATATGAATTAAATAGAAAGATTTGTTTATATCGGATAATATTGAAGCTAGAATCTTTAAATTTTGCACATACAATTTTGACATCTCTGTGGACATTTGGGGGGAAATGGGTGACTTTCATTAGGGGTAGGGAGGTGCAAGGAACCTCTCATATGAATTAAATAGAAATATTGGTATAACTGGGAATCTATTAGAGCAAAAATGCTCATATTTTGCTCGAGCAACTCTGACATTCAACTGAACATTTGGGTAATAAAAATGGGGGTCTAGCAATAGGGGTTATGGTACCCCCCGGAAATCTATTTAAGCTAGAATCTTCAGAAATTGTAAAGAGGGTTTTTTATTGGTGGGGTTGTAGCTAGTTTAATATAAGTAAAGTCGGGGCCTTGATTAAGTTCAGCGATTTTCTACTATTATTAAAACAATTTTTTCCAACTTCTTTACAGGATCGTCCCAAACGCTGCAACAATCCTAAAGTATGTAATCTTTGGCATAAATCTGGTGTTCGTTACATGAAGACCTGTCAACCCTGTCCAGACATATATCCATGGACCGGCAAGACTGGCATACGATCATCACGTATCGATAACGACATTGAAGATTCAGCGTAAATAACAACTAATTCAAAATATCCATACAAAAAGTAATAATTTTTTATTTAAAAATAAATTTTGAAAAAATTTTATTTATGGCACAAAATATTTAGATATTCAAAATTATATTCATAAAGACATTCACTCGTTTTTCTTTTTTCAAATAAAATTAAAATCATTAAAAAAAATTAAGCACAAATTATAAAGTTTCTAAGTAAAAAAAAGCAAAAATTTAACATATAAAATAATAATTTAGTTAAGGAATTTTTTTTTTTTTTTTTTTTGTATAGGAAAATTTTCAATTTAAACTAAAAGTTATGGAAATTTAGTAACAACCCAATAATTGTTAAAAGAATTTATATATTTATTACATTTTTGCATTTCGGTGTGTTTTTATTTAGAACTATTTTTTTTTTTTATTTTTGTTAAACCAAATTATTTATTCAAAATTTTGTTTATTATTTTTTTTTTATTAATTTTATAAATAAGTTTTAGTTTTTAATTTAAATATTAGAAAATTTAAAACAAAACAAAAAACAACTTATTTCATAATTAATTCATTTGTTTTCTTTGTAAAAACATTAATATGGCCACATTTAAGCGCAATATTAGTTTTTAATTAATAACTTTTTTGTTTAAACTTTTACAACATTTATAACATCAAATTAGTTTTATTAAACAAAATTTTTAAATGTTTCTCTTGTAAAATATTGTAAAAAAAAATTATTTCATATTTTTGTCATTTCTTATTTTTTTTAACTATAACGAGTGTATTATAATTATAATATAAATAAATTTTAATTATAAGTCGTCATAAAACATAGTATAGAATATGTGATAATGAAAACTTTTTTAAGATATTAAACGAAAAAAAAAACACATTAAACTAAAATCCTAAAAGTGAAAATGTCCCTAAACATTATTTTTTTCACATTTCATAGACCACAAAAAAATCAAAATACTCATCCATTAATGCAAATGTGTATGTACCCCCTTTTCTTATGTTTTTATCCTTATCTTATTCATTTGATTATTGTTTTTTTTTTATTTTACAATTATTATTGTATTATTTATCATTTTATGTAATTTTAAAGTTGCTTTTTTTCTTAAATAAATTTTTCATATTTTAACATAATATTATTGATCTGCTGTAGACTTTTTTCTTTTTCTAATTTTCAACGAATTTCTGTCATAATTTTTTCTAAAAACATAAAATTCATTTATCTGGCAAACTATTGGAGTTAAAATCTTGAAATTTTCCACAAACAACTTTGACATCCATGTGGACATTTGGGAAATTAATTTGGCAGACTAGCAATAAAGGGCGTGGCACTTCCCATATCAATTAATTCTGAGAAAATTTAACAACATGAATATTTAGGCCAGAAAATAGGCGGACTAGCAACAGGGGGTGTGACACTTCCCATATGAATTAAATACAAAAATGTTATTTATTTAGGAAACTATTGAAGCTAGAGTCTTCAAGTTTTGCAACAACATCGAAGTGAACATTTTGGGACTAAATGGGCCTAACTAGCATTAGGAGGCGTGGTAAAATATGAAATTTGTTTATTTGGGTAGCTATTGAAGCTAGAATCTTAAAATTTTGCATGAACAACTTTGACATCCAACATTTGGGTAATAAATTGACATGACTATCAATAGAAGGCGTGGCACCTCCCATATGAATTAAATACAAAAATGGTAATAATAACATTGCAATGAATTTGCCCATTGGCGTACTAGCAATAGTAGGTGTGGTAAAATATAAAATTTATTTATCTGGTAAACTATTTTAGTTAGGATCTTTAAATTTTGCACCAACAACTTTGACATCCATGTGGACATTTGGGTAATTAATTTGGTGGACTAGCAATAGAGGGCGTGGCACCTCCCATATGTATTAAATACAAAAATTCGTTAACCTGGGAAACTAATAAAGCTAGAATTTTAAAATTTTTCACGAACAACTTTGACATATATGTGGACATTTGAGTAATTACTTTGGCGGGCTAGCAATAGAGGGCGTGGCACTTCCCATAAGAATTAAATACAAAAATTCGTAAATCTGAGAAACTATTGAAGCTAGAATAATTCAATTTTGCACGAACAACTTTGACATCTATGTGGACATTTGGGGGAAAACTTTCATTAGAAGGGGTGCTAGAAACCTCTCATATGAGAATATTTTCCATAATTACAAATATCAAAGCTAAATTTAATATAGGTTTGTCCTTTTTTTAAGGACCTATCATATTTTTTGCAAACAGTAGATCCTTCTGAACCCGATCGCGGCAACAATAATTTGAAAAACGATTTTCATATGTATCTTGATTACAAAATGTTTATCAATTTCAAAACACGGTGCAAAACGAAAAGGCCCGTGTATCCCACTTTTGTCCAAAGTCAAACACTTTTTTATGGGCCTCCAAAGATTTAGGGCCTTGATGTAATTTTTGCAAAAATAGTGATAATTTTCTCAGGCTCATATCTTGCAAATCGTTCGGAATTTTCGTCATGATCAAAATCTCAAAACAAATTTTCAAAAATTCGATTTTTTATTTCTGTTATTCCTCTAATTATTGTTAAATTAATTTCTGTTCAATTATTCCCAAGTGCCTTAAAGGGTTAATCTACCTTTTATTCACTCTATTTTAAATATCGGACTATATACGATAAATTCCTGTCATTTTTGGTAAATATGGCCGACAAATAAATATTATTTCGATATGGTACACTAAAAAATCCCAAATATTGCAAAATTTGACCTTTGAACTCCACAGTTTATGGGTTAAGAATGTCCGATTTTAATAAAACTTCATATATATATTTTATATTATCTGGACTATAATACTCTGAAAATACTTTATGTAAAATGTGCAACTAAAATATTACAAAAAAATGCGATTTTTCCGAAATCCGCCGAGTTCAAATCGCAGGTACAGCTAAACTGTAAGAAATATTGATCTAATATTTTTACCGTTTAATAGCCTTACCTATTGAAAATAAATCCCCATGAGATCTCCTAAAAATTGTGAAATTTGTTTAACAAAGTTTAAAAAAAAACTGAAATTGGAGATTTAAACGGCCGTTGAAAAAATCAAACTTTTTTGACTATAGCTGAGAACGAGTTAGCGTTATCTTATAAGGGCAAAAACTAATATTAGAGTAATTATAGATATATTTTAAGTAACAAAATGATTTTTTGTAATATATCCCATGTGCTGTGAGACACGTTAATGGCCTGGGGAATTTGCAATAACTTTTAAAGTTTTCAAGCAATTTTTGTGTTTTATATCTTTCCGAAATGCTTACTCTGTGCACACGATTCCTTTATAATAAAGTTCAAAATTTATTACTAAACGGCCAAATTTGAGCAAAAACTGAAAAAAAAAACGATATTTTCCCCTTGTAAATACACTTGAAACCTTCAGAGCCGTTGCGGCACCTGTTAACGTTATCCAATCAGCCTAAATTTTTGTATGACATTGTTTTACATCCCATAGAACAATTCTAGAGCGGGGGACGGCCTGTCAGACAAATTTGTTTTCCTTCATATAAGCTTGAATCACTCTAATAAACATATATTAATTGATTCTCTAAATTACACGTATACTTAATATTTCTAATATCACTAAATCATTAACACGTATACGTACAGGTGTCGTTCCTTGGGAAAACTTTGTAAAAAACCTTTGAACTCAATTAAGATCAATAAAAATATCGTCTTCGACAAAGAGTCAGTGCATCCGAAAATTACAGAGATTTCCACTAACGTCTAACCACCTGGTTGGATCTAATCCGTCTTTCGTCAAGGATGTACTCTTTGTAAACGAGAGTGTAGATAATCGTCACTTTAGTGTCTCCTTTGTAAGCTAGAGAGCGAACACTTAAAAAACAGACTTAAGCTTTTTGTCTGTCTCTTCGTAATCTATGGGGTGACGATTGACTTCCTCATAGGACAAGCACATATAAAAATAGCTAGTCACCTGTACTGTCGGTGGCTAGGGATAACCCTAAGTGCTAAGTTAAATTGGTAGTTCGGGACTGTCCGACCAAACTTTTGGGTCGTGATCTTAAAAATGAAATTGAGATCAATTTGGTTTCAAACTCTAATTTGTTAATCTTCGAAACTCAACTTAATAGACCTAAATCAATGTTTAAGAGCAAAAAAGAGTAGAACATAATATTTCTTTCAAATTTAAAACTAGTCACGAATGAGGGCCCAAATTCTGGCATTCGAAAACGAACAAAATTTCTAAAAATTCTATTGAAGTTTCGATAGATATCGAATGTCAGAATTTGCCCTAGTCCTAATAGTGAACATGTTGTTATTTGTTTGCTTTCAGACTTGAAACAATATAATTTTATAATTTGAAAAATTTTATTAGTTATTTACGAATATTTAAAATATTATTATAGATGTCAGTTTTTGGTGATCAGTTCGAAACCAAATTTCAAATGCTCAAACAACACATTAAAGTGGAACTTAATGGACTTTTATAGTCAAACCCAGACATCAGGTTTGTTTCGATTTGGCTGTAGTTTGATTCAATTTGGCTGTCGCACGAACTAGAGATAGAAGTTGATATTTTAGATTGTTTGTAATATTTTGACATATTCGTCCATCCAGTAAATACAATTGACTTTTCGCTTTGCATTACTTTAACGGTATCTTTTAAATGGGGAACTTTTTACCATTTTTTATAATTTCCTTTTAAAACTATTAACAGTTTATAAAAATTTAAAGAAAATAAATTTTAACTATTTGTTTTTTATTTTAATTTAAATTTAAAAAACACATATTGGCAGTTAAATTTAACAATAAATCATTAAAAGAACTTTATGATTTTGTGTTAAATACAACTGTGTCTATGTAATGTATAGAATGTTATATCCTAGTAAAAAATTAACTAGATCTTAGAATATTAATATAGTATTAAGCAATTATAAACATAAGATATCCGCTTATAACTAAACTATTCTTCAATATATACATATATACATATTTTTCGCATTGACATAATTAAAACTTGTTTAAGTCAATCACCATCATATTCCTATCAATTAATTGGTGTTGCTCTTTTTTAAAATTACCCATCATATCAAAGAAACTATTTTAAAGCTGTAATTTATTTGAAAAACAAAAAAACCTAAAATCTATTGCTAAAATATAAGTTGACATAAACGAAAGTATTATCATTAATTCGTATAGAAAATCGCTATTTAATTGAATATTAAAATAAAATCCAAAATAAATATTAATATAATAAGTTAGTTTCAAATTGGTAAAATATATATAAATAGTTTCATTATAAAATTTCAATATGAAACGAGTGAATATTTTATAATTTTATTATTTTGTGCTTAATGAAAAAACCATAAACATCAAAATGAATTTAAATATTAAATTAGAAAATACACTTGATTTACCAAGAAAATAAAAAAAAAAAAAACTTTAAAAATACAAATATCTTAAAGGTTTTATTTAAAGGGGAAATATAATTAAGGTAAGAAAATTATAACTTAAGGGAATTTATATCAAAGGAAAGCTTTACATAATTTAAAACAATATTAGGAAAAAAAACGTTCAGGACTTCCAACTGGTATAACAAATAATTATTAGGGAAGACCATCTTATTCTTATATAGACAATTATGAAAGTATAGTCGACTTTAATTCTGACTTATTTAATGAACAACTAACTTCCTGAAAGAGGCTTTACATGAGGGCTAAGGTTAAATAAGGACCTTATCGAATTTTGTTTAGAGATTTGTGTATAAAAGTTATATATGCCGAACTTTACCGTTATACTAGTGTGTATCAATGTATTATGGATGTTTAAGACATTTTCTGAAGGAGTCTTTGTATGGGAGCAAAAGCTGAATGATCAAGGATTTTAGTATAACGATTTCGAATTTATTATCTGTCTATAGTCCAGACTATAGTCGAGTCTATAGTCCTGACTATAGTCAAATCTACAGTCCAAACTAAAGCCGAGCCTATAGTCCCGGCTATAGGCCAGACTATAGTCGAGTCTATAGTCCAGACTATAGTCGAGACTATAGTCCAGCCTATAGTCCCGGCTATAGGCCAGACTATAGTCGAGTCTATAGTCCAGACTATAGTCGAGACTATAGTCCAGACTATAGTCGAGTCTATAGTCCTGACTATAGTCGAGTCTATAGTCCTGACTATAGTCGAGTCTATAGTCTGGACTATAGTCAAGTCTATAGTCTGGACTATAGTCAAGTCTATAGTCTGGACTATAGTCGAGTCTATAGTCTGGACTATAGTCGAGTCTATAGTCTGCACTATAGTCGAGTCTATAGTCCAGACTATAGTCGAGTCTATAGTCCAGACTATAGTCGAGTCTATAGTCCAAACTATAGTTGAGTCTATAGTCTAGACTATAGTTGAGTCTATAGTCCTGACTATAGTTGAGTCTATATTCCAGACTATAGTTGAGTCTATAGTTGAGTCTATAGTCCAGACTATAGTTGAGTCTATAGTCCAGACTATGGTCGAGCCTATAGTCCAGACTATAGTTGAGTCTATAGTTGAGTCTATAGTCTAGACTATAGTTGAGTCTATAGTCCTGATTATAGTTGAGTCTATAGTCGAGTCTATAATCTGGACTATAGTCGAGTCTATAGTCTGTACTATAGTCGAGTCTATAGTCTGGACTATAGTCGAGTCTATAGTCTGCACTGTAGTCGAGTCTTTAGTCTGCACTATAGTCTGCACTATA